GGATGCCTTTGGTCGCATCGATATCATTATCAACAATGCCGGTATCCTCCGCGACAAGGCCTTCACCAACATGGATGACAGCCTCTGGGACCCCGTCCTTAACGTCCACCTCCGCGGTACATACAAGGTCACCAAGGCCGCATGGCCCATCCTGCTCAAGCAGAAGTTTGGTCGCATTGTCAACACAACTTCCACCAGTGGTATTTACGGCAACTTTGGCCAGGCCAACTATGCCGCAGCTGTGAGTAGCACATTCAAACTGATCCCCCAACATATATACTGACAAGGCATGTAGAAATGCGGTATCCTCGGTTTCTCCAGAGCACTGGCTCTCGAGGGTGCCAAGTACAACATTTACGTCAACACCATTGCACCCAACGCCGGCACTGCCATGACGGCTACCATTATGCCCGAGGAGATGGTCCAGGCCTTCAAGCCCGACTACATTGCTCCTCTTGTCCTGGCCTTGTCGGCTGAGAAGGGACCCAAGAACCCTACCGGTGGTCTGTACGAGGTTGGCAGCGGTTGGGCTGGTCAGACAAGGTGGCAGCGGACTGGCGGTGCTGGTTTCCCCGTTGACAAGCCATTGACTCCCGAGGCTGTTCTCCAGCAGTGGGAGAAGATTATCAACTTTGAGGACGGCCGGGCAGATCACCCTGAGAAGCCCCAGGATGCCGTGCAAAAGGTCATGGAGAACATTCAGAACAAGAGCGGGGCCGGCAAGGTATGAAGTTCCATATTGTCTTTGCCCCAGCTCAAATGATTGTACATGATTTCAAAAAATATAGTATAATATGAACCATGTTGACAAGTCCTTGTGAAATTATAGAAGTCCAAGTCCGCGCCTAAGCCTGTCGAAAATGGTGATCAATATCTCAAGGCCATTGCCGACGCAAAGGCCAAGGAGTCCCCAGAGACCGTGTTTACCTACACGGAGAGAGATTCGATGCTTTACAACCTGGGAATCGGCGCCAAGAGGACCGATCTTCCCTACATTTTCGAGGGGCACGAGGACTTCCAAGTCCTGCCCACCTTTGGTGTCATTCCCCAGTTTGACGTCAACACGCCGTACACCATGGACGAGGTTGTGCCAAACTTTAACCCCATGATGCTGCTCCACGGCGAGCAGTACCTCGAGATCAAGAAGTACCCGATCCCGACGGCGGCCAAGACCAAGAACTACGCCAAGCTCATCGAGGTCGTGGACAAGGGCTCGGCCGCCATTCTCAAGAGCGGCGTCTCGACCGTCAACGCCGAGACGGGCGAGGAGATCTTTTACAACGAGGCGACCGTCTTCCTCCGCGGCTGCGGCGGCTTTGGCGGCCCCAGCAAGCCCGAGGACCGCGGCGCCGCCACGGCCGCCAACGCCCCGCCTAAGCGCATGCCCGACGTGGTCGTCGAGGAGAAGACCACCGAGGAGCAGGCCGCCATCTACCGCCTCAGCGGCGACTACAACCCCCTCCACGTCGACCCCAACTTTGCCAAGATGGGCGGCTTCAAGCGGCCCATCCTTCACGGCCTCTGCTTCATGGGCATCGCCGGCAAGGCCGTCTACCAAAAGTTTGGCCCCTACAAGAACATCAAGGTCCGCTTCGCCGGCACCGTCCTGCCCGGCGAGACTCTGGTCACCGAGATGTGGAAGGAGGGCAACAAGGTCATTTTCCAGACAAAGGTCAAGGAGACTGGCAAGCCCGCCATCTCGGGAGCTGCCGCTGAGCTCGTCTAAGGACGAATGTTGAGGGTATATACTATTGATAATGGTCAAGAGGCCTAGGATTGTGGTCAAAAAGTGTAGCGATATTATAATGCAGGATGTGTGCGATAGCCTTGAAATTTCTCGAGTAAAATAAACTCTCTTTAATCCAAGTCATGTATGTATTTTGAGCAGTGATGATGCAAGTCAAAAATGTATATGCGCCAAAAAACCACACCATAGTAGGGGAAAAAAAAACCAGTTTCAACGCCGATCCAAATGCCCTTGATGCCGTGAGGAAAAACTCCATCCTGAAACCAACGCCAGTATCTCTCAATGCTTCGCTACCATGCGATGCGCTTTCTTTTGTCATCCGGACATGAGTTGAGCCTGAATCTACCGTTCTAATCTCCCGTATATAGCCTAACCACAAAAGAAAAATTGAAAAATGTATCCTGAAAGGGGGATCGTGATTCTTATCAACCAAGGGCGTTGGATTATGATCCCACGACAAATAATGTTTCAATGATGCCGTCGCATATATCCTCGACGGACGGCATCTTCCTGCGGCCAGAGAGTAGTTGGGTCACGACGTCATCCCTCTTGCTGGCCACGCCGGTCTCGAGGAAGGCCTTTTCGGACTCGGAAAGGTCTCTCCTCTCCGTCTCCTTCCACCGCCTTTCGGCTTCGGCCCGAGCCTCGCTCAAGATGGCCTCGGTATCCTCGGCTTCCCACAAATTGCATTTTGCGCACTCTTCACAGCGGGTGCCATCGCCCTCGGGCCGGAAGTGCTGACAAAAATGTTGATAGCCCTCGGTACTGGAGCCAATATCCTTGCGGCAGACATAGCACATCTTGTAGCCACATGGACAGGTGAGCTTGTTGCAGCCGGCATTCTTGACGAAGCTCGTGTTGCAACGCGGGCAGACGCGTTTGATGGCCATGGACATGGCCTGCTCTACCTGCGTGCGCAACGCTACGAGGCTGGACTCGTGACATATGTGGATGTCGGTCCAAGCTTTGGAGCACGACATGCACGATGAGCGACCACAGGATGGGTCGCGGCAGGTAAACTTGAGGCCGAGTCGGCGCCGCTGGTAACGGGAAATGGCGGCGCGGAATTGCGTCATCAACACGCGGCGCAATCCAGTGACACCAACAAGCAGTATGCAAATCAAGGCGACAAGAATGAGAGGGAGCGAGAGAGGAGATAGCACTATGCAAAGCAGTATCAGGACCAGGTTAGGAATGTTACTTGCGCGCAGCTTCAATCGCCTCTTGTCGATCGGTATGAACAACTCGTCCACTTCGGCATAGCTGCAAAATGGGCATCGAACAAGTGGAATATTGCTGGCAATTAGTTCATGTTCTGCGAGACGTTGGTCCATCTTGTGAAGTACTTCGGCGCCATTCTTCTGGCTTTGCATGGCGCGATAGATGTGCTCAGCCGAAATGCAGCCTTGACATTCGTCTGAAGATACTGCTGGGCATCGGAGTGTCCCTGTGGCCTTGTCAATGCTTCGTATCCAGCCCTGGCCAAAGACTGCTTCGGTGATGGAGTGTTGAACACATCGGAAGCAAATCATGTGGTCATTGGTGTTGCATGTGGTGATTTCCTCAAATGTGACATCTCCATAGCAGCAAGTGCATTCATATGTAGCTTTACAAGCTTCTGCCTCTTCATTGTGAAGCTTTGCAGCGAGCTCACGATCCTGTTCTTCTCTGTTGGCCGCTTCGCTCTTCTTCAGTGGGACGATGAGCTCTTCAAATAACTCTCTATCAAGCTCGGCATTGCCGGTGGATCGGATGGTCGGTAATATGTAGCCTTGACCCGACGATTTCCATACCACTAGGGGATGATGCTCTGCCTCGCCCGTCGTAACCGGTTTGCGCCGGAAGAAGATTGACTGAAAGGTGAATTTCCAGGACTTTGACGAGAGCTCCACCAGGGTCGGCCGGGCATCGAGGTAGGAGTAGTTTGATTCGGAAAGCACAGCTTCAATAGAAGACCTCGAAAGTCCCTTGAACTCGGTCTGGGCCAGAGTACGAACAGCCTGTTGATACTCCTTGCCCCGGAAAGTCTCGGTCTTTGGAACTCGCTGCACTTCTTCCCCATCTGCACTGGGTTCCGGTTCGCTGCGTAGCCTTCTCCTGCCCTTGACCCATGCTGACGGATTCTTCAGCATCGCATCGGCGATCACGGCGACCCTTGACTCTTCGGAGAAACTATAGAGCATTTCGCGAAACACCTCAATTTGGACATCAGGAAACACGGTAGCCAGTATTTCCAGGCTGGTGTTCAGATCTACTGTCTCGTTCGGTAGAGGTGCCAAGGGCTGTAGCTGCGATTCGTCGGCTATGTAGAGCAATGAGGGATCGGGACTATGTGAGCGCTGTACTGGCGATGTGCTCGAGGCCCTCAGCTGCTCTCGGGATTTTTTTCGGTTCGCGCGCGCAGAGGCGCCCAGGATGGTTGACAAGAACATTTTGACTCCGAGTGGCCTCAGCCAAAAGTTTCCGTGTTCCGTAACAAGCGCATGATACACCCTTTTGGCCGCAGCTTCTAGACCGAGATACAGCGGCAGTGGATTTGAAGAGAGGAACTGGGTGGGAAAAAGGTCGGAAAGGCAGATGCGGTTGAAGTTGTGGCAGGTTTGAATCGTAGAATCGTAGACGGAAGGCGCAAAGGAGAGTGAGTGCATCCCCTGCACAGTCCCTAATGGGCGTGTTGAAAGTGGGTCCGGAGCATTTGACCCCAGCTCAATGTCCACTAGCCGCGAGGTATCCAAGTCCACGGGGTCCCAATTTGCCGGGTAGCAGGCTATAGCCGACGACTATATATGATTCCTGATGAGTGCAATGATTTGATCATGAGCAATGTCGCATGATTCTTGATGCTAAAAATGCCACATGCATAACAATCCAATTGTGTTGGCTGTGAGTAGTGATCAGATGATCGTTGAAAGCGGGCACTATGCTCACAGACTTGTGATCATACGGGGAAAGCCTCAAAATACGAGAATCAAGTGAATATTAACCAAATGACATTTCATCAAACAACTCCAAGGCAACACTATTTGGGCTTTCCTAAAGCATCTACCAAGTCAGGTGGTCATTGGGGTACTGTTTTAGTGCGTGTCCCGAGGCCAAATGCGTAATGTCGCTGGCACTTCATGTTGGCCGATCAAACCGAAGGAGATCGAAGGTCAGTCAAAACAATGCCATTTCAACCAATAAATCTATGTTGAGATACAGACAAGATGAGCGCTTGTGCTTCTATGCAAACTGCGAAAACACAAAAAGTTTGGGCTCTACCCCGGATTCGAACCGGGGACCACCTGCATACTCGTCTGGTGACGACTGGAATTGAAGAATCCCGAAGCAGGTATCATACCACTAGACCAGCAGAGCATTGAACACGGCTGTGTAGAGATGATTGGATCATCTTAGTGTTGATTGGGGAAATTGGTAATTACTGCGGTATATATCGGTAGACTGAAGCGGCAAGGGGCGGCCAGGGGCAGCAGGGGGGAGAATGCGGAGTCCCACCGAGTGGCTGAGGAGTGTGGCACTGTCAGGTAACACAGGCAAGAGGTCATCGAGCCTGTGTCCATGGCTTGATCTGGGAAATAGGTCAATTTCGTGTATTCTCGTTTTTTGATAATTTTAGTGACCATATGATATATGTTGGTTATTACATGCCACGTATGCCACAATATGACGGCCCAAAAGTCACAGATATGATTGTGTCTCTTGTGCAGAGATGAATGCTGCGTGGTTGGTCAAATAGGCTAGGTTACTATATTCAGCACTAGCAATCATATATATAACCACCACTGGAATTATATAAAAACCGTTGGACCAAGTACATCACGTACATACCGTACAAATAACGAGTCCTGCTCAGCTATATAAGGTTGTCATTGTTATGAAAGTTCATATGCCACTTGAAGTTCTGTTTGCGCAAGCCTGTGACGGCGTGCGACGCAGGCCAGTATCCCTTGCTGACAAACCAGTCGCCGGACAGTATGCGATGTTTGGGCTTTTTTTGGCAGCCGATGAGATGATTGATCAGAGCTCACATAGATGCAGCCTCTGCTTAACCTTTTATCATCTATCTACAACTCATGCGCCATTTGTGGCTGCGCAGTGTAGCACCAGCAAGAAACCATCCGAACTAAAAACGACATCGTTAAGAATCAAGAGAGGGGTTTTCAAAAGCAACAGGCTGCGAGCGAAGAGTTTCACAGGCGAAATTGTACTCAGGAGATGCTAATTAATTGTCACTCTCGCAACCTCATATTGCGCGGGGATTAGGCTACTTTCGATCACAGAGAAAAGTGATGAACAGCGCCCTAATCCATGAGCCGACCCAAATGACCTCAAAGAGACCTAGGCAAGTCCATCTACGCCGTATTTTACGCACAGGTCCATCAGTCTTTGTTTCTCTACGATGGAGACCCTACAACTGGCCTGGAAAGGGAGAATATCACTCGCAGACGTTACAAACGCGCGAGGACCACTACCATGTTCCCCCTCGCACTATAGACGATCAACAAGAGTCGTGGGATGACATGGGCCTGTGCTGATACTGATGTCCTCGGTCGTCGACCCATTGACCGACGACTCAACCCCCTCGACCACATTTCGCTGCTCAACTCCAACAATGAACGCTTTTGGGAAGATGCTGCTCCTCAGGAGCGCATTGCGCGTGACCCAACCACTCTCAATGCCAAGCAGCGTCTAGTGCTTGACCTATACGTCGAGCGTTATCAACAAATCCTGGCGGGCAACAACCGGACCCGCTCCACATCAACATTGATGGCGAGGCTGGTTGCGGCAAGTCGTACCTTATTGACGTCCTCTGCTCTGAACTGACGCGAATGGCGTTGCCATTTTGTACTCCTACCCCTTATCTTATAGTAGCATATCAGGATTATTTGGCTATTCGGTAAATAAAAGCCGCAAAGCTATAAACTTTTGCTTTTATTAAGAAATAAAATTATTTCTTTCCTTTTTTTTTTTTAACTTTTTTAATATATTTATATTTAATTCTTCAAGGCTATAATATATATTTTGTATTATAATATATTATATCGTCGATCGGCTGAATACTGGACGGGGTTCCGTATTAATAAGACAAGGGAAATATTAAGATCGGAATGCTTATATATTCTCACTGCTAATCTTGCGATTCGTATCCCTTCCCATTTCCAAGGTAATTTCCCGTCTTAACTAGCATTGACCTCGATCTTATTCAAAGCTATGCTACCAGCACATTACATCACCTAGACATATGACAGCCTTTCCGCCCATGTTCGACAACATGGATCCATAAGAGAGGTAGAGAATAATTGTCAAGGAAGGTATAGCGACATTCATCGAATCAGGAAACTCAATCAGGAAACTCAATCAGGAAACTCAATATACACTGGCTACGGAAAGATGGTAGCAGAGATGGCGATACGATCTGACTTCTGCGACTGATTTACTTTATCGGCAATCCATTTGGCAATTCCGACGCACAATGAAATATGGAATCAACGCCGACACGTGACAAGAACGAACAGCCCCAAGAGCGCGTCTTCTACCCAGAGGTACACGACGCACCGCCATGACGACTCACGACGTCTATGATCATTCACTCGGCGTGTTCTTGGCTAGGCTTTAGGTTGTGAAGGAGCTTGGTTCTCGTTGCCGTAGCAAAGAGCAAGCAAGGCATGTAGAAAATTTCACTAATAGCCTTTTGTCTTTTTCGAGGAAAAACCCCAGTCCCGGCCACGCTTGTAGAGTTAGGCCTTCGAATAGATATTTATATCACTCGACTGTTTTTCTTGATCTGTTTTGACTTCTCTAGTTCAGACATTTTGAATGCTGAGAATGCTATTCGTAGAACCTCAAGTATGATGAACTTTGCAAAGCCATGACCAAACAAGCTTCCACAGTCATGTTCAAGACAATTTTTGGGGGGGAAATGATCAAAACTCTGTCACGTTGTCATTCATTCACCTCGCCGCAGCATCCCAAACAGCGGATGAGCAACAACGAGACTATTTGTCGGAATCTAGTATATAGAGCAATGAAGGTCGGTGCCATCAGAGGGGCTTCAATGCCGCCAACTTTTGAAACAGTCACATATCGAGAGGTTGCATGGTTGTGCCGAATCTGTTTGGCCGGTGATGTTATTGTAGGTAATTTACTGCCAGAACTTCCACTTGAGGCTAGCTGCTGAATTACGTACTACATGTGATGAGTATAGAATCCCAACACCGATGCTTTCCTCGCCCAACTCAGATTGGCGTGTTGCCTGGGGGGCTTCATGGCTTCGAATTCGCTATGGGTGATGAGAGGTAGCTCTTATGGTACCGTGCATGGCAAGAGGCTTGTCAAATATGCCACGGACAATATCCAGAACAAATCTAATACTGAGAGCAGAGATGACTTTCCTAAATACGATCCACGCATACGCTGGCTTGAACACGCAGAAGCGTATCATTTTGGCCAAGGCAGCTGCTGCTATAGTAGCAAAGGATTGATACTCAGCAACGATTGGCATATAACAAAACAAATTGCGCAACACAATGTCAAGATCAACCATAGCTCTCGAAAAAAATATATTGATCATTCAGTCTGGTAGGACAAATAAAACCTTATATCGCATGATTGCGTCGCCAATCTCAGTCCCGTGATGAAATCAATAAACGCCAGATTCCGGCCCCATCAAAACACCCAATGCAAAGCAAAAAAAGATCGTGACAATAGCTTAGGCAGCTGCGGCAATCTTCTCGGGAGCAACGCCGACACGCTCCTTGCTGAGAATGTCGAGCATAAACTGCGAAGGCCTGTTGTCCTTGTAGACCTTTTGGGTAGCCTTGAAAGCCTGAACGTTCTCAATGTACTTGTCAAAGAGGTACGAGCTGTCCATGGGACCTCCCTTGGCCTCGGGGTGGAACTGGGTCGAAAAGATGGGGCGGGTAGCGTGGCGCATACCCTCGTTGGAACCGTCGTTGAGGTTGACAAAGTACTCCTTCCACTCCTTGGACAGGGAGCTGGCATCGACAGCGTAACCGTGGTTTTGACTGGTGATGTGGCATTGGCCGGTAGTCAAGTCGAGAGCGGGAATGTTGTGGGCTCGGTTACCGTACTTCATCTTGACGGTGCGGGCACCAGCGGCCAGGGCGAGCAGCTGGTGACCCATGCAAATACCCATGATAGGGACCTGCGAGGTCTCCATCAGTTGGCGGAGGTTGTAGACGGTCTCCTGGCAGTGAGTAGGGTCACCAGGGCCATTGGTGACAAAGACACCGTCGTAGTTGTCGGCAACCTTTTGGATCTTGAAGTTGTAGGGGAAGACGGTCACACTGGCGCCTCGGCTGACCAAGCTGCGGAGGATATTCTCCTTGACACCGCAGTCAATCAGGGCGACGTGGTACTTGGGGTTGTGGGCCTCGACCACGAAAGGAGCCTTGGTGCTGACCTTTGCGACCAGGTTAATCTGGCCGGGGTCGATGAAGCTCTCATCCTCGTCGGCGTCGTACTCTTCTCCAGTGGTAATTCGGGCCAGAGAAGAACCCTGCTCTCGCAGATGGGTGACAATGGCACGGGTATCGACGCCAGAGATGGCGGGAACACCCTCTCGGGCACACCACTCTCCCAGACCCTCGACGGCGGTCCAGTGGCTGTACTGGGTAGCGTAATCGGACACGACAATTCCGGCACACTGAATGTGGGGGGACTCAAAGTACTTGAGGAGGTTCCACTGGTCACGCTGGTTCGAGGGGACACCGTAGTTGCCAATCAGAGGCTGGGTGAAGACAAGAATCTGTCCTCGGTAGGAAGGATCGGTCATGGACTCGGGGTATCCAACGAGAGAAGTGGTGAAGACAGCCTCACCAGAGATGTTGGTGTCGGCTCCAAAGGCGGTTCCGCGGAAGATGGGACCATCCTGGAGCTTCTGTCAGCCGGCACGTTCTATTCTTAGTCATGTCCCATGTCTACTCACCCGAATGGTAAAGGTAGCCTCCGTGCCAGCAGCAGGCTGAGCAGTAGCCCGAGTATAGGTACTGGGCATCTGTCTGCCCTTGCTGCCCTGGTTGGCCTTGGCCAGCAAGCTGGTCGTCGACAGAGGACGAGTGAAGCCAGCAGGCTTGAAAGCCTTGGTAGCGACCCGGGAGAACATGATTGTTCTAAAGTTTTTGTTTGGATAGTGGAAAAAGCGTCAAGGATTACTCGAATGACCCGTGTTTAAGCGGACAGAGCTCGCCACAAGTGGTCTGTTGGGTTATTTTGTTAGCTTCCCTGGCGGTGAGTCAGGGTTATATGGAGAAATGGAAACCAACCTGAGATATAATCCTAAAAGATAAGAGTATTAGCACTAGACATGACTAAATTGAGAGGCATATTGGGAAAGG